ATTTATTTTTTATATGGTGTTTCATGCTCACACAAAATACATTGATTTTGACTTATTGTCATATTATATTTATAATACAATGTACATATTATTCAACTAATATTTTCTACCAAATTTCCAGTTTAAATGACTCATATAAGTAAATCAAATAAAGGGTACTTATACATGCACTTATGATTTATATATATTAAATTAATTCTCTTAAGTTGATACAACTTCAACAAACACTACTTTCATCTGACAATAACTACTTGATGGGCTTGAAGTATTTGGAACCATTAGTGGTGTTGCTCATATCCACACTATTTGTCGTTGAAATATCATTTAGGTTGAATATTTGATAGAGTAAAAGCACTATACAAGAAAACGTTATACAATTTGTTGAATGTATACAACTGCTAACTATAGTAGTAGTTATCAAAGTAATAGAATAGAATGTTGAAAGAACTTTCTTTCTTCCTTAAAACTAAGGGGATCATTTCAACTTCATTTGATATTAACTTTTGGTGTGATCTACTTTGTGATGATAGTGAATATCGATTGAATTTTTCATCTATTGAGCATGTATCCTTCACTTTCAGTTTTGGTGTTATTTCTAATGTTTTAAGAAGTTTAAACTATTAGCATCGAATACACGTGCAACGCACGTGCTCAAAACTAGTACTTATATAATATGGTCCCATGTGGAAAAAGACAAATGTTTATATGCATTATTGGATCTTAATCTTTAAGTTAACCTCTCTAGTTCTCAAAGGGACTTATCTATATATGAAATAATAAGTCTCCTAATCAGGACAAGAATAGTATTTCAACATTGGCCGTAGAAACGTCGTTCCAACTTGGAATTTACAAAGGAGTTTCTTTCAAAATATATATGGTCATGGACCACACCCAAATTATACACTCGCTCCATTTCATATTAAGTTAATTTTTGAGGCATTTTTCATTTTTCAAATTAACTTAATTGTTCAGTTTTCAAGACTACTTTTAGAGTGTTCTTCCAATTTTACCTTTCATTAGTTAGTATTAGAATTAGTGATTAATTAATATTTAGTTATTTTAATCATAAATTTGACAATAATTAATAATGGTAAAAATGGAAAACTAGGTTTAATTTATGTCTTAATCTATTTTTCTTAAAGGGTGTGAAACACTTCAAAAATTAACTTACTATGGAATGGAGGGAGTATATACTAGTTTCTGGACACATGCTTTACACGTGTGTTCCATGTGATTTTTAATAGATATGTCAGAATGACTAAAATTCTATGGAAACATGTATGTAATGAGTAACAAAATGCAACAATTACAAATAAGTGTTCAATAATATGACCAAAAAACACCAAATGAAGAACATATTCAATAATAATATAGATGGAAAAATAAATAAAAAGTAAGTACATAATTTAAGTCCGAAGACTCTCAATCAACGACTCTGATCCACACTTAAGAGACTCCTTACATTTTGATTAGGTGTCAGATTGCTACTCAAACTTGACAAAAATCTCTGAAAAATTCATTTAGACAATTTATCAAACAGTTTAAGTGCACCATTTTACTTAATAATTTTTAGCACTCTATGTTTATTTTTTTGCCTCCGAAAATTCGTAATTGTAATTTACTACTTACTATGAGAAGAAAGAGGGGAAGAGGAGATACTAATTATTTTTCCTAAAAATAAATTTGTTTTCACTTTCACCTTATTTTATATTATAATTTATTATTATTATTTTTAAAATCTAGGTGTATTTATTTTAGTTAGTTGGCAGCAACGGAGTGATTCACTTATCCACGTCACAACATTTGTATATCACGCGTTTTGCCTGAAATATTCAAGTATTTTTTTGGTTAAATTTTGGATAGTTAAAGTGTCTCTTTGTACACTATCAAAGTTAAAGGTCAAAGTAATAATTTGAAGTCAAGTTAAGGATCTTATTTATGTATTACGCCAAATATTATTTTTTGTGTCCCAATTTATGTGATGTACTTTCCTTTTTTTAATCTGTAAAAAAGAATGACAAATGTATATATACGAGGCGATAACAAATATTCACATACACTTGAATACTCCTATTAATTTCAAGATGATGCAAGATGTTTAATTTGGACTGATCTGTTGGGTCAAACCATTGCAGCAATCAGCTGAACTGTTTTCCTCAAGAAAACAGTGGTTATATTAGGAGATATACAGATAAACTTGTGAGTTATTTCTACTCTTATATGCACATTATTTTGAATGTGATGGGTGGTTAGAGCGGTGCAAAGCTTACATAGCAATCGAAAGGTACCCACAAGTGGAACAAGTTGCCTAACGTGTTTCTTAAACAGACAATAAGTGCAAAAGATAAAGAAGACTTCACTTTTACGTGGAAAACACCCCACTCATAAGGATGTAAAAAAAAAAACATGACTTGTATTTAGCCCAAACTTTACTCGACAATGAGCCAACAACAACTTAAGATTACTAACTCTGTAATTAACTCCAATTCCTACAACTACACAAACCTCCCAAGGTTTATATTCTCAAGTCTTCGAGTTACCCCAACTTGAAGACAATGATATGATCCTACTCCAGTTTATACAGAAGGCATTAAAGATACAACTCGATAAACAATCCTAAATCCTAATACATAACAACAAACCTAACACATATAAGACACCTTAACTGCCGTTAATGTTTCTGTGTGTGTCATGAATTGGTATTACAGTAAGCAAAAGGACTATAGCACATTTGTGTTGATTAGTTGGGACTATAACCTTGTCTTTTTTCTGGAAATCCATCATGGTTGAGTTCACCAGAGCTCAGCATTTCGTTACAGCATCAGTTTCCCCACAACTAATCGAACTTCATCAGCATCCATATCTCCGATCACAATAAATTTCTTCTCATTCCTATCAACTGCAATTGATTGTATCCCTTTCATATCAAAAAGGCAAAAAATATGAATCAATTCATTTGGTGTACGAAAAAAAAATAGGAAAGAAAGAAAAAATAATCAGTACCTTGAAGAGAGACTAATCTATCAAATGCCTTACTTATCTCTTTTTCATTAGATGTATCGAATTTCAACACCATTTTCTGCATGAAATACTAGAGAAAATCCAATTGTTCAAGGTTAGGAAAGGCATCATCAGCTACAATCCATTTCATCAAGGACAAATATTCTAGTTTCAAGATTTTGAGTTTAGGGAACTTGCCACTGCTCACTTTCCATTCCCCATGATCACCAAATTCAACGTGGTACAGTTTGAGTACCTCAATGTGCTTGAGATGATTAGCAGTTTCTGATAAGTACTGAGAATTCAGGTAAAAGCCAGAGAATTTCAGGTATTTGAGATTTGATGCAGAGATGCAAAAGGGGACGGTTTCAAAGGCTTTTGATAAATGAAGCTTTAGTATTTCAAGCCGTATTGGAAAGTTCAACATATGGCACTGATGGGGGTATTTTAAGCACTGGACTTCACATTTCAGTTTTCGAAGATTAGGTGTTTTTCTCAGCATCAATTCTGCATCCTCAACACGAGTGAAATATGGATTGGAAAGGGTTTCCAAATCATAGAGTTTTGGAGAGTTCTCGAGTAATGCTTTTTTATTTTCAGGGCTAAAGTTAGGAATATACAGATATCTCAATTTAACCATATCCCAAACTGTACTAGGTAGTGTTAACATGATTGTAGGAGTATCAACATGATTATAGTAAATCATGATTATAGAGATCCATAATAATTGTAGGGATTCATAATAAGGGAATATCTCTTTTACCTTGTATATATATTTGTTTCCTAGAATAGGTAGAAGCCTTAGTAAGCAGTTATGTGTATATATATATGAAAGCTGTACATCCTGAAAAATATACAGAAGAATTCAGTTAACAACATTATTCTTACTGTTCTTCATGGTATCAGAGCACCAACATTGAATTGAAATCGAAACGACACCCGAATAATTTTTTTCTTCACAATGGGAGACCAGACACCCACCTCTCTCCCACAATCTGTCATCGTCCATCACGATAACTCAACTTTCCCAACGAGTATTGCTCTTGATGAAACGAATTTTTCCCTCTGGTCACAATTGATGGAGATGCGCATTGGTGCACGAAATAAAATCGGGTTCTTGACAGGAGAAAAAGTGAAACCAATAACGAATGATCCGAGTTATGCGACATGAATTACTGACAATAACAGAGTTAAGAGTTGGTTCATTGATTCAATGAGCCCTCATCTTATGCAGCGATTTATACGACTCACCACAGCCAAGGAGATATGGGAAGCTATTGCAAAAACCTTCTATGATGGATCTGATGAAACTTGTTTGTTTGAGTTGAATCAAAAATCTTTCACTGTGAAACAGAATGGTAGACCTTTGTCTACTTTCTATAATGAACTGGTTGAAATCTTTCAGGAAATCGACCATCGAATAGTCGCACAGGAGGAAGCAGTTGCTGGAGTCATACACACGCATTCCATTATGGCTAGGCTGCGACTTCATATATTCCTTAATGGACTTGACGCAGAATTCGATCAAGTTTGTGGTGAGATTCTACGAAAGGATCCAAAGTTGGATCTGGAAAGTACATATGCATATGTTAGACGGGAATTTCAACAGAGGCAGACCATGGGAACTTCTCGCCCAATTTCGGAAAGCTCGGCCATGGCAGTTCACCGAAAGAAAGGGCACAGTAACTCATCATCTGGAAAATCTAATGATTTTATTTGTAATCACTGTGGTGAGAAAGGACATTCAAAACAACGATGTTATGAGATTATCGGATACCCGGACTGGTGGGATTTCTCAAAGAAGCCTAGAAAAAATATCAATGTCAGTGTATCAATGGCTATGCAAGGACACCACCGATCCACCCAAGAAGAAAAATCGCAACCCATTGCCAATGTTGTTCATCCAGGTATTTCTGGTAAGGTGGATGTATTTTCTGTCACTACTAAGAATAGTGCTTGGATTATTGACACAGGGGCAACTGATCATATGACAAACGATTCCACCAAATTACAGACTTTTAAATCGTCATCTCAATCTGACATCTCTACCGCAAATGGTAGTACTTCTCCTATTACAGGAGAGGGATCAATTGTTCTTTCTAATACTTTGACGCTTGATACCGTCCTAGTAGTTCCCACACTTTCTTATAATCTTTTATCAGTTGGCAGAATTACCTCAATACTCCATTGTACCGTAACTTTTTGGCCTTCATTCTGTGTTTTTTAGGACATTCTGACCAGGAGGACTCTTGGTTATGGTGTTAAACGAAATGAGCTGTATTATTTGGAGTTGACTGAAGATGGAAAAAAACAATTTCATCATGCATTTCATACGAGTGGGGTTGAGAAGACTCGTGATAGTGTTTGGCTATGGCATAGGCGGCTCGGTCACATTTCCTTTGCGTATCTTAAGAAACTTAGGCCAAGTTTGTTTTCTGGTTTAGATATTTCAGATCTTAAATGTGATGTATGTGAATTAGCAAAAAACCATCGTGTTCCATATTCACCCAGTTTAAATAAATGCTCCCAGCCTTTTGGTGTCATACATTCTGATATTTGGGGACCTGCAAAGGTTCCATCCCTCTCAAATGCTCGTTATTTTATTACTTTTATAGATGAATGCACTAGGTTTACATGGGTATCTTTGCTTCGTAAGAGGAGTGATGCATATATGGCATTTAAGGAGTTCTACAATATGGTCCATATCCAATATCAACATAAAATTCAAATTTGGCAATCCGATAATGCCATGGAATTTGTTGATGCTTCATTTAGTGAATATTTAAGCCAGTTGGGAATACGACACCATACTTCTTGTACGTATACACCACAACAAAATGGGTTGGCAGAAAGGAAGAATCGGCAAATTATGGAGGTAGTACGTGCATCTCTTTTCGGGATGAACATGCCACGGTTTTTTTGGGGGGAGGCGGTCGAATCTGCTGTGTATCTTACCAATCGGGTTCCTTCCCAAGTTATTGACTTCCAAACTCCACAAGATAAACTGAAATCCTTTTTCTCAATTCCACATATGCCAAATCTCGAACCAAGAGTTTTTGGGTGTACTGTATTTGTTCATATTCCCAAAGTCTTACGAAACAAATTGGATCCTTGTGCCACACGATGTATTTTTGTTGGATATTCGGATTTTCGAAAGGGCTACCGATGTTATGATCCTCGCACGAAAAAGTTGCAAGTATCCTTAGATGTATCCTTCCATGAAACTGAGCCATACTACACAGGGGGAGTTTGGGCTCATCTCTTCAGGGGGAGAACTCGAGTGATGAGACTGAGCTATATGGAAGAAACAATGGAAATTCTAAAGGTGAAATTATTTTTTCAGAAGTAGAGGCCATCGAAGAAGAATTAAATACACCTCAAGTCACCATTGATCAGCCCAATGTAGATGCTCCAAGTTTGCCAAATGTATCTATGAATAATGATGATGAAAATCCATTAGAAGAGCTTGTGTTAACACCATTAACTGAGGAGCCTCCTTCTCAGAATGATCAAGCTAATGTTGGACCCCAGGTAACAAATGATTCCCTCTCAAATTGTCTGTTACCCTCCCGATTACCACAAAGATCAAATAGGGGTGTCCCAAAGAAACATTATGAACCTGATGCTAGAGTAAATGTTAAATATCCTATCAATAATTTTACATCTACTCATAGACTTTCGGATTCATATGCCCTAAATGTTGATCAATTGTCCAAAGTGTCTATTCCTAATAGTGTGCAGGAAGCATTAGCGGATCCAAAGTGGATGAAAGCAATGAATGAAGAGATGGAGGCTCTGGAAAAGAACTCAACTTGGGAACTGGTTTCATTGCCGAAAGGGAAGAGACATGTTGGATGCAAATGGGTATACACTGTAAAACTTAAAGCTGATGGAAGCATCGACATGTATAAAGCAAGGTTAGTGGCAAAAGGTTACACACAAAAGTATGGAGTTGATTATCAAGAAACTTTCGCACCAGTTGCTAAGCTTAATACTGTCCGTATCCTCATATCAGTGGCAGTGAATCGAAATTGGCCTTTGCGACAGTTTGACGTAAAAAATGCTTTCTTGAATGGTGACTTGGAGGAAGAAGTATATATGGAGATTCCACCTGGGGTTAAATATGAGTCTGTACATGATGGTAAAGTCTGTAAATTGAAGAGATCGTTGTATGGGCTTAAACAATCACCCAGAGCCTGGTTTGGAAGGTTTACCTCAGCAATGAAATTGGTTGGTTATAGGCAAAGTAATTCTGATCACACTTTATTTATCAAACATGAAGGAGAAAAAATTACAGCATTAATAGTGTATGTAGATGATATGGTCTTGACTGGTAATGATGTTGAAGAAATGGAGAAACTACAAAGGTATTTGGCCACCATGTTTGAAATGAAAGACCTAGGACGCCTACAATATTTTCTGGGTATTGAAGTATCACGATCGAATCTAGGAGTTTCTTTGTGCCAACGGAAGTATGTGTTGGATTTGTTGACTGAAACAGGGATGTTAACATGCAAACCAGTTGAAACACCAATGGAGATTAATCATTCACTTGAAATTTCTTATGGCAAAGCTTTGGTAGACATAGGTCGCTATCAGCGACTAGTGGGAAAGTTGATCTATCTAACACATACTAGGGCGGACATTGCATATGCCGTGAGCGTGGTAAGCCAATTTATGCATGCTCCAACTGAGGAACATATGAGAGCACTTTATAGAATCTTGAGATATCTTAAAGGTGCCCCTGGAAAAGGTTTATTGTACTCAAAAAATGAGGCTGCCACCCTTGAAGGTTACACCGATGCTGATTGGACAGGAGATCAATCAACCAGAAAATCCACTTCAGGATATTTCATGTTTGTGGAAGGAAGTCTTGTCACCTAGAGAAGCAAGAAACAAAAGGTTGTTGCTCGGTCAAGTGCGGAAGCAGAATTTCGAGGTATGGCACATGGCATATGCGAGCTGTTATGGATTAAAGGAGTGCTACAGGATCTTGGAATTGAATGTTCAAGGCCTGTAAGTTTATTTTGTGATAACAAAGCTACTATCCAAATAGCTCAAAACCCAGTACAACATGATCGCACTAAACAC